GCCCAACTCATAAAAATTATTTTGAAGATTAATGTTTAAAATAATCTAAAGCTGTTAGAATAAAATTTGTTTTTAAAGACTAAAAAATCCCCCAAATTCTTAACCCAAAAGAGCAGCCTAGTTTCACCCTCTCCAGGATAAACCCGTTTATTCTCTTGGCAGTCCATTGTTTGTTCAGTACTGTTCTCCACCACCACAACTCTAAGGCTTAAATTCTTCTGCCATCTTTGATCACTGTCCAACTCTCTGCTGCATAGCAAGTCATTGTGAAGGCCATGCCTGAATCAGGCATACCTGAGTCTCCAGACTGACATCGTTGCTCTTCAGGCACTTTTGAGAGGTCCCTAAACAGCACCTTTCCTCAGAGCAGTTTGTCTTGATTTCTTGACTACTGATGCCAAGAGTGTTGATTGTGGATCTGAGCAAGCTGAAATTGCTAACAACCTTAATCTCTTCACTATTTATCAGGGTGCTGTCAATTGGCCCAGTGGTGATAAGCTTTGTCTTCTTGATTTTGAGCTCCAATCCATATTGAAGATTGCAGTCCTTGACTTTCTACAGCAAATGCTTCAAGTCCCCTTTAGTTTCTGTAAGTAAGCTTGTGTCATCTGCATAATGTACAGGTTGTTGGTAAGTCTTCTTCCAGTCCTGATGCCACATTCTTCCTCTTAAGGTCCAGCCTAGCAAATGATCTGTTCCACGTATAGATTGAAAAGATGAGGAGACAGGATGCATCCCTGATTTTTGCTATTTTGAATCATGCGACATTTTCTGGTCTAAGTATATGTTTCACATGAGCACAATCAAGTGTTCTGGGATTCCCATTCTTCTCAAGGTTATCCACAATTTTTTGTGATCCACACAGTCAAATGCCTTTGCATAGTCAATGAAACACAGATAGGCATGCCCTCTGGTACCCTCTACTTTCAGCCAGGATCCATCTGATGTTGGCAGTAATGTCTCTGGTGTCATAACCTCTGGCCTATATTTCTGGCAGTTATCTATTGATGTACCATTCCAGTTGGGTGTTGTGTTTTTTTTTTTTATAATCTTTAGCAGGATTTTGCTTGTGTATGAGATTAGTGATATTGTTTGATAATTTCCACGCTCTGTTGGGTCACCCTTTTTTGGAATGGGAACAAATATGGATCTCTTCCAGTCAACTGTCTTGGTAGTTGTCCTCTAGATTTATTGGCACACTTGATGAGCACGTCTAGGTCAGCATCTATTTGTTGAACTCTGTCAGTTGGCATTTCATCAATTCCTGGGACCTTGTCTTTTTCCAAATCCTTCAGAGCTTCTTGACTTTCCTTCACTATTATTGCCTCTTGATCATATGTTGTTTTATGAAATTCTTCTGTTGCAGTCGATTCTTTTTGGTGTAGTGATTCTGTGTACTCCTTCCATCTTCTTTTCATGCTTCCTGGATCCTTCAATATTCTATGCATAGCATCCTTAAGTATTGCAACTCGAGGCTTGAATTTATTGTTTGGTTTTTTCAGCTTAAGAAATGCCAAGTGAATTAGATCCTTCTGGTTTTCCGACTCCAGCTCTTTGCACTTTTCACTATAGTACTTGGCTTTGTCTTCCTGAGCTGTCATTTGAATTCTTCTGTTCAGTTCCTTAATTTCCTGATCCCTTTCCTTTGCTTTGGCTTCCCAGCACTCTAGTGTAATATTCAGTATTTTCCGACATCCATCTCAGTCTTTTCTTCTTTCTTTGTCTTTACTATGACCTCTTGCTTTCTTCATGAATGATATTCTTGATATAAAAAGACCATTTAAAAGACTTGG